TAAAAACTATTCAATATATAATATAGATAATGCATTTTGGAATCATCAAAATTTTAATATTTATAGTGCAACAATTCCAGACCGCATGCATCATCTTTATTTGGGACTTTTTAAACATCAAATTAAATTTACTTGCACTTTATTAAAGGATCAATTAGAAAAGTCTATTTTACAAAAATTAGATAAAAGTTTAGCACAAATACCAAGATTTCATAATTTACATATTTTTAAACATGGGATAAATAATATTTCACAATTTACAGCTTCAAATTATCATGATATGATGAAAATATTTGTTTTTGCATTAGATGGGCTTATAGATTCTAATTTAAAACTTAATGAAACTATTTGTTTGCTATTTGTCAAATGGAATATTATATATTTATGGACAAGATATAATGAATTGAGTAATACGGATCTTATAGCATTTGAGGTAATATATTTGTATTAAATAAATATTTATTATTATATAAGTAGCGCTAAAAGAAAATAGAAGCTTAATTATATAAAATTTATATAATCAAGATTCTATTTTCTTTAACATTACTTATATATTATAAAATTTTTAGACTAATATTTATTTATATTATTATAGAAAGATACTAAAGAATGGGCATATGATTTTAAATCTTTATTTATAAAATACTCTGCTTCAGATTTAAAGTTTCTGAAACTTCACTCTTGGATTTATCATTTAATTTCATTAATTAAAGAATTTGGCTCAGTTAATAGAATGACTAGTGAAACATATGAAGCTTTACATAAAACACATATTAAACAATTTTATAATTTAACGAATAAAAGAGATATTGATAACCAACTTCTTACTATGATAAGTAATTTTTTTAGTATTATTAAATTTTTAATAGTAATATTGTATAGTACCCGAAGTTTTATTTAAATGCTTTATTTTTTAAATTATTTAAGAAATCGGGTACTATATTAGAAAAATATTATGCATATTTATAACTAAGAAAAGTTTAATTATATTTTATAGAATTGCCGGCAAGAAATTTTATATACTTTAATACAACAAAAAAAAATAACACAATTTGAAAATTTAAACTTTATTATTGATAAAAATCCTTGGTATAGTTTACAATTATATAATGCAGATTATATAATTTCACAACTAAAATCTGATAAACTAATACCACAAGAAACTATACAAGGTTTTAAATATCTTCAAAATTGCATAGAAGACTTCTTATCTGATATTGAAAAAAATTTATTAAATTCAGATATTCAGATTGAAGTTTTTAAAAATGCTAAACTTAAATCTAAAATAATTATTCGAGCTTCGCCTTCATATTATAAAGCATCATATTATAGTAATGTTGCAATAAAAATAGATAATGATGAGCAATAGCTTTATATAAATGATGATGGATATTGTTATATAGCTATCCGTTTGCTGTACTAAATTTAGTACGAAATACTGAATTTAGTACAGTCATAAAATTTAAATTTTAAAAAATTTTTCTTATTAACTTTAAATTAAATTTATATA